GCATCAGGTAGCTTTTCCAGACTCATTAAAATCTCTGAAACAAACCAGAAAACCACTACATGTACAACCAAACCCACTTCAGAGGCATAAAACGCCCTCAACCGTGTTCTTGTTACTTTTGACAACAGACTAACTTCTAAACGTCCAAAGCAGGTGCAGAGTCCCGCCCACATTTCTATGTCAGGCACTAACCGACAGCGGCCTCCGCTTGTTCCAGCTGCCTCTGCCTCAAGGCCCTCAAACGAGTGGAAAGCTTCTGGATGACCACGTAGAGGACGATGCAGCTGAAGAGGATGTACCAGCCATAGGTGGCCAGCAGGGAGCCCACTGGGGGGGTAAAAAAAAAAAAAGGTTTCAGAAACTAAAAATGACATGTCTCAATTGAACTCCAGCAAGTTCAAGGAGCGCAGCTCCTCTTTCCAGAGGAGGAAACGATCTGTCAACTCGCTCCTCGAGAGGCTGTAATCTGAGGATCGCAGACAAATCCGTGAAACTCTGATCTCCCGTAGAGCAGCAAACAGCCGGAAGTGGAGATGTCTCTAGCGGCAGCCCTTCAGAGAAAAAGCGGAGCACACAGAAGAAAAAAAAACTACGCCTCAATCTAAGGAGCACTGAATTGGGGTACTTCTCAACCATCTGGAGCGTGGGGCACAGCAGGTGGGGTTCTGGAAGACGAAGAGGAGTTTCCCCGACTGGGGTGACAGTAGAGGGCGTGAGGGGAAGGGGGGGCTGGAGGGAAATGCCGGGGCGTTCCGGGGTCTGCCCCGGAAGGCCTGGCGGCACCCAGAGCGAAGGACCCCGGAAGGCAACGTCCACTCGGGGTGCAGGCCGCACCCCACCCCAGGCCTTGCCCAAGCCCGGCGGCCGGCCAGGCCTCCCTAATTCCCGCCCCGAAGCGGCGGAGGTCGTCCCACCGATCATGGCGGCGCCCCGAAGGCCGGCGGCGCGCGGGCCGCGGCCCGCGGCTCACCCGTGGCGTGAAGGACGCGGAGCCCCTCGGTCTCCAGGGCCGGTCGCGTGGACAGCTGCTCTCCGTCCGGTTCCATGGTGGCGACTGGCGCCCGGCCCGGCCCGCGTCGCCTTCAGCCAACACTTCCGGTCCGTAGTTACGTACACGTGGCACGCCCGACGCGGCCCTGCTACCAACCAATAGCGGATTGACTCCGCCCCGACGCTCGGCCAGTGGCTGAGAGGGAGCGGCAGTGGGAGGGCCTAGGCAAGGCGGACCGGAAGCTGGTTTTGCATTCCCTGGCGAGCTGGGGGTGGGTTCAAGATTCCCGGGTGTTACCGCGGTGGGCGGATCGCTGGCCTCGGATTTCCGACCGAGTGGGTCATCGTGCGCTGATTGGACGGCGAGGTGAGGCGGTCAGGAGCCTCCGAGGACCAGACTGGCGCCCTCACCCCGGCCCGGGCCTTTTCGGTGTCTGGGCTGGTAGATCGGCGCCCCCAGCCCTGCAGCGTTGCAGGAAGGCACCAAACACGGAAGATGGCACTTTCCTCCTACTTTCCGGCCAAAAACGTCCCCAGCAGTCGGGAGGTTTTGATCCCGAACCTGTTGGAAAGGAATCGCCACCTCCGTGTCTCCGGCTTTGGGTGGAGCCAAACTGTCACCAGATGTCATTGTTTATAGCAGTGTCAGGTGACCTCTGCCAGTCCTGGCCTTCCTCCACCCCCTCCCGCCATTTAGGTGGGAACTGTAACCACCCTATCTCAATTAGAGCTGGAGGGTCTTGAGAGTTCAGAAACAAGCCAGTTCCCAGGATGGACCCCTCCTTCACCATGCACGCAGGGCCTGGGTGCTTTTAGCTTTGTCCTTCAAGGCTGGCGCTCTACCGATCTGAACCACAGTTCTACTCCCTGCTTCTTGGTGGTTAATTGAAAACCAGAGTCTCACATTCCTGCCCAGTCCGGCTTTGAACTGTGATCCTTAGATCTCAGCCTCCTGAGTAGTTAAGAGTACTGGCACGTGAGTGCCCAGCAAGGCTTGAATGTAATCTTAAAACCCTCAGCGCAGACACTTCCTGTCTGGAATTAGTTTCATGTGGCTTGGCATGAATCTTGCTCCTGTGCCCATCATAGTGACTGCCTGGTTGACCCAGATGTGAAGCAAGAGCCACCATCCATTGCTGGCTTGTGGAGTTCCTCCAAGGGGACCTCAACGGGCACCACTGTCATGCAAGTGCTCCCCAGTGTGCTCAAGATGGCCCTTGGCTTGAACTGTATTCCTAAACCTGGGTGATTTAATCTCATTTTATATTAATGGTATTGAGAAAATCTATCAGGTGGAGCCTAAAGGAAATGAGTGTGCTATAGTACATGTACAATGACACATATATACTCCACTGTGACAAGATACAGCCAAGAGGCCTTCTAGAGCCTGCACCACACAAACTGGGCTTTCATCTGTCAAAACTGTGCTAAATAAATCTCTTTTCTACTGGGAGAGAGCAGAGGTGACATTGTCCCAAAAGAAATGTACACTTACATATATGTAAGTGTAACCCCTCTGTACAGCACCTTTATAACAATGACAGATCTCTTTTCTTCACAGAATTAGTCTGCCTCAGGTATTTCCTTGTACTATCTGAAAATGAATGGTAAGTTAATGGAGACTTCTATTGAAGGACTGAAGTTCATAGGCCATGGCAGAGAAATTCCTGCAATCTCTTCTTCACTGTGTCAGACATCTTAAAAGTAGATACCTCAAATCAGGAAACTGGATATGTAGCCATCAATTTGAATTCAGGAAAGAGCATTTCTTCTCACTTATGGAAAACAGTGAAACATCTTGTTTTTCTTATCCTATTGGGGCCTGAGCTCAGGCCCTTACTCCTGTTTCATTTGGCTTGCTTGCTCAAAGCTGGTGCTGTAGCGCTTGAGCCACACCTCCAGCCCAGCTGGACTCTATGTACACAGTATAGAGGTGTATACATTTAACTAAGATTTAATGGACTTTTGAGTGTATGGACAAAGAGCCTTCAGTTTCTAGCATGACTCAGGTGTCATCTTTGTTCCTTGAATCGAGAGATAAGTACCTAATCTAGGTCCACAGTTACTGGAGCACTCTGCTGAATATAACAGGTATTTGCAGATATGGGATAAAGGTGCACAACAACCAGAACTCCCACTTGTCACTGACTGCAGAGACTAAATGACTGGCCCAGATTCATCATTCCTTCTTGAGGCCATAGCCTTGCTCTAGCCTTCAGGTTCAAAGAGTGATTTCCCCATCATTTGATATCATCTTCACCAAGTGCTATTGCTTTGGCTAACAGCAAGTGGGCAGAGATAAGTGGGTTGGTTTTGAGTGCAGGCTTTCAGGGGCCGAAGATATTGAGACATATATTTCCAGGACACTCAAGTCATCCATGGGTGTGCAATGAAATCCAGTCAGCGAGTTAGTGATGAGACCAAATGGTGGTAGTTGCTTAAAACTAGAGTTTTGAAGTGTTTTTTTTAATGTGGTACAATCAACCGCAAGCCTTGCCTCTTCAGCTAAGTATAAAGACAAATAGCTGACAGTGGTTTCATAAATATCAAAATAAGGGGCTGGGAAGGTGGCTCAGTGGTAGAGCGCTTGCCTTGCATGCCTGAGGCCCTGGGTTCGATTCCTCAGCACCACAGAAGCAAAAAGAAAAAAAGCTGGAAGTGGCACTGTGGCTCAAGTGGTAGAGTGCTAGCCTTGAGCTGAAGAGCTGAGGGACAGCGCTCAGGCCCAGAGTTCAGGCCCCACGACCAGACCCAAAAAATTAAAAATAAAAATAAATCAATAAATATCAAAATAAGGCCCTATTCCTTGCAACTGACATTTTTGGAGATTCCTGGAGTGCCTTTAGATTATGCTAATTATGTCCACAAATATAACTACTCATTTCTTCAATGTATAGTTCTTAGAAACTCAAACCAGAGCATGACCGATTATAGGCAACATCACAAAAAGATCCAAATCCATCTTAAGCCCATTGAAGTCTCAGTCCCCCTGGGACTGCACGACTCTCACTTGGTACAAGTTTCTGTTCTTGAAGCTTAAAAATGTTCTGGGTTGGGGTAAAGCCACGTATTCTGGTCCTCTGCCAGCTTTGGAAAATCCTTTCTGGGAACAACGGCGCACCTGATGTAGCAGGGCTTTTTCTCCTTGAGCCTCCAATACTCCCACTGGAGTCTGGTGCCCACGGGGGCCTCGGTCCAGGTTCATTCAGGAAAATGGCTCCCAGCTCTCAGTCACAGCTACTTCACCGTGGCTTCTCAACAGCCAGAGCCACTCAGTAAGGTAACTCATAAAACTGGACCCTTACTCTTTGTGGGGGTGCTGGGGTTTGAACCCAGGACCTTATCCATGCTTAGCATGCACTGTACCACTGACACAAGCTCCAGCCACACGGGAAAGCCATTGTCCTACCTAAGAGCAGGGCCCGTGGGAAGAAAGGCAGTCTATGCACACGGCCTCTCACTGGTGACACTGACAGCCCGCCTGGCTCTCCTCCAGCCCACCATGGGGCACTACTCAAACCCGAGGCTTCACAGAAGCTACTGCTCCTTGCAGCTCTCCTCCTAGTCAGACCACGGGGAGCGTTCTTCACGAGGCCAGCTTATCAGTTTATATTTAGTCTCCAAAAGACCATTCTGGAATATTTAGAAGTGTTCTTCACACTTAGAGTCACCAAAGGAATTTAAAAATCAAACCAAGGAAAATGGAATGTGGAGAGGGGCCCAGGGCACTGGTACTTTACAGATCCTTCCTAGTGAGGCCAGCACACAAGGAACACAGAGCCTCTAGGAGCTGGGGCAAGCATGCCTTAGCCTGCCCAGCAGGGAGCCCCGCCTCCTCCCCCCAAACCCTCACACAGGCTGGAGGATGCTGCCCCTCCCTCACATGCCACCACCCAACCAGCAGCGTCTTAGACTTACGATGCAAACATCCACGCATGGCAAGGACGCCCAGCTGGACGCCATCCTCCCACATGCAAACTGCGATGATGGAGCACCACGCTGACGCTTGCTATGTGTGTGACTTTTATTTTCACTATTTGTAGAAAACTGACATTTACGTTTCCAAACATAGCACCCCCCCCCCCAAAAAAAATCAGCAGCTTAAAGTGTTTCAATAATGCTGATAGATTTCACTTTGCTGCCACAAACCCACATTTCAAAACCAAGACTTGTCCAGGACAGTTTATCGCTCACGACCCGTTTGCAACAGTGTCTTCCTCCATCTCTTCTTCACCATCATCGGTGGGCCCTGCAGAAAACCACACGGCAGAAGTCACGCTAGTTCTATGGCTCCTGGGTGCCAGGCACTGGAGAGGTACAGAGAGACCCAGTACCAGCAAAAATCAAAACCAAAGACTTTCTCATATCATTCTTGACCACAGCACCTGAATTGTTGGAAGTACAAAGACCAACAGGGTTTTCTGACCTGATCTGCGTTCTCTGCCAGGGATCTGCCCAGACTGCAGCAATCCTTTGAGCCTCTCCACTTCAGCCAGAGTTGATGCGTTGGCTATAGCATTCTAGAAGAAACCACAGAGACGGACAATTAGTTGCAATCGACTATGCACCCTCCGCAAAATGCCCACAGAAGTTCACAGCAACTTTTCCACAGAACATTACACAGTGCTGAACTGGGGGAAAGGCTTTATTGGCCTATTACAATCAGTCTAGAAACAGTATGCCATGGTAACAACCATTCAGCGATAAATGTATCCTGGGAAAATAAGAAAGACTTTTTTCACTCCAATGCCCTCAGTTCAACTAGCTTGTGCAATGAATTCAAATCAAAGTCCCAACAAATTACTTTCAGGGCAATTTCTCTCCCAGAAACACAACTGATCCACTTGGAGTGGGCAAAGGAGTGCACATGGCTCAGAACTTGGCGACTGTCCTGTGTATCCCGACCCCTCCTCCCCGCTGTGGAACAGGAAACAAAAAGAATACAAAATCACCTTGATTGCTTCCACATCTCCTGGAGATGGACCACCTTTCTTTTTGTCAGTTGGCAAACCAGCACCTGGATTAAAGCTTGGGAGGGAGAAAGAAGATACTGTTAAATCCCAACTCTTGCAAGTTGCTTCTCTTTTACTTTCAAAAAGGTACTTTTGAAAGTAATAAAACCAGTGTAGTATCTTATCTTTGTTAACAAACTGATACAAGAACTCTCTCCTTCAGAAACACCTCTAGACTCCTCTTCCTCCAGAGAAAGCCCAACTGCACACAATAATGCATGAAGATGAAAACCAGGAAAGATTTGCTTTGCTAGCCGGGTAGAAATTCCATGTCAAGGATGGACTAGGGGTCGTCACAGACCACAAACGCCCGAATTTAGTCCTGCATTCATGAATGCAGTTTTCCCTTCAATTTTGTAGGCAGTGTTTCTGAAGGTGAAGTAGAGTTAAGTTGGATATCCGTGTCTTACGTTTTGCTTCTCCTGGCAATATCCTTTGCAAGCTGTGCACCCCGTTTGCCCTTGAACATTTTCTCTGCTTCCTGACGCTCCTACAGCAACACCATACACAGAGTTAATGCAAACGGGAATACCACATGCCCTGAGATGCATTCCTCAGAAAACACGGAAGAACTACTCCTTAAGCACCTGGGACTGGAGAAAACACCAACAAGCCCATCTCAAGCTAGAAGACCCAGTGGTCACGGCCCCCCCATGCGAGCTCCTGAGGTGAGTTCCCTCTCCCAGCCAATAAGGGACTCAAAGAAACAAAGAAAGGGAAGAGAAAATAGACCCCCAAGAAGAAATAAGCCACCATGTCAGAGTTGCTCAGAAGTGGATTCTAGTGAACTCTACATTTCCTTGGGAAATGTAGCTAAGCAGACAACCCAGCCTGTGGCTCTTAACATTTTGCCAACACTGCAATGGCCCAATGCAAGAGTATCAATTCAAAGCCCTGCCATAAGCTCTGCATGAGAAAATTTACTTAATATTTTCTTTCCCATGCACTAAATGATCAGCTACTAGATTAGGCAAATGAGTAACAAAAAGATAAAGAAAATCACACAACTCAACACTGACTAAAAACCAACAGAGTATGACTTACTTTTAATTTTACTTTCTGGAAATCGAGGACTCGAACCTGTGGGACTTTGTAGATGACGTACAGTCTGTAATGCTTCTTATTTGTGACAGGGTTTCTTAGGATGCTAGGAGAAAAGGAAGCGCACAATACCAACCCTGGTCATGGCACTGCACTTGAAAACTCCATCTAAATGGCAAGTGTCTGTCCCTGAAGGAGAGTCCACCAGCCTTTCTGCTACCAAACACCACTGAGGAAGCATTTTCAACATTTGGTTTTGGAAGGGACTTGTTATAAACTGATTGCCTTAAAGTTAAGGTTAATATAGGTGCTATTTTAAGGACTTCCCTTTTTAAATTTCATACCTTAGATATGTCAGTGATTTGAGAGATGCCAAAGGGTCCAGATCCCCCTGTAAAAACAAGGGCCTGGTAAGCATGCAGACACCGCAGACTACCCATTTCCTATCTTGACATGGAGACTGCCTTGAGAGCATCTTTTATTTTCTCTGCCCTGACACCCAGCACACAACCAATGCTTAACCAGCTTCTATGGAACACACTGGTGACAACACCTGTACTTCTCTCAGTCTGGTATTAACTCTGACTCAACATCAACTTCCTGTGGCATTCCTGCAATGGCGATGCACAATGAATGACTCTGAAAAGAAACCAATGTGAGAGCTAGTATGTTTGGAGCAAGGTATTACGTGGAGAACCTCGGGCCAGGATCTTGGTGCAATGTCATACCTCCCAAGTGCCTACAAGAGCGGGCTATCTTTAGGAAAAGTAACTTTTATGCTAGGACCTCCCAATCCTCATCAAATAACTTTACACAAGGTCAAGGTGAACAGAATTAGGACAGACGGACACACACACACGCGCACACACACACACACACACACACAGACGGACACACACACACCAGAGCAGAACAAAATAGACGAAGGATAGTATTTGATACTGAAGCTAGGACAGCAAAAGTAAAACTCGATGGTCAATAACGACAACCAAACTACGGAAAAGCTATGTAAGTAGACAGAGTATGGACAGAACCAAAAGTTCTAGACTTGCTGGTGATGGCTTTCCTGCAGGCAGCAGCCAGGGGAAGGCACTGAGGCACATGGTAAAGATGAAAACTCCCAAACAGGGGGAAAACAGCTTCTAGACCACATGAAAGCACTAACAATAAAGACTCACAAATTAAGCTGCACTTAAATTAGGAATGTCACCCTAACAATTTTAAGGCAAGACACGGTAGAAAAAGTACCAGCAACAAATATGATCCAAAAGATCTCTCTGGTATATAGGAAGCTCTGGATTCAATTCCCTGCACGTGTACACGCACAGGCGCGCACACACACACAAAGACCCAAAACTACAACAACTAAAAACAAAAACACCATAAAAGCAAAATAACCTTAAAGGCCCAGATTCTGAAATAATGAAGCAAAAGACAAAAATGATCATTCTCTGTGAAATTTTCTGGGCTAGGATGTAGCTAGCCTACCAAGTATGAGGCCCTGAGTGAAAGCAAAATAAATTACTTTTCTCAATTTTTGCAGTTTTCCCTAAGAAGCATGCAGGTGCTTCAACCCTACCCCTCAAACACATCTCTCTGCCCCCATCCCACCCCCTGCCCAACTCACCAGTTCCACAAGACTGTTGTTGGTGAGAATGAGTTCTGTCAGACAGGGCAGAGCCTGGTCAAGCCCCTCACCTATGCGGCTAAAATAAAGAACAAAGGCTCTTAGTAAGAGTAAGCGAACAATGAAGCAGGCTCCATCTTCAGAGGCTCTCAGACACATTACAGCTTGCCCCTGTAGTCCAAGCCACAGGCTGAATGAACACGCAGTGACGTTAGCATCCTCCTGGCCCTCTCCCCAGACACACTAACAAAGGTGGGGGCTCCCAAGCAGAAGAAACAGCTCAGCATACCTCATGACCTTTGACTCCATATGCACAGCTTAGTTTTTTTTTTTAAATTATCTTTTATGAGTTACTGACTTTTTTTTTTTTTTAAAAAATGTGGTCCTGAGGAATTGAACCCAGGGCCTCATGCATGCTAGGCAAACATTCTACTACTAAGCTATAATCCCAGTCTCTCACAGCTTAGTTTTAAAAGTATACCATACTATAAGAGAATAGTGAGTCTATGAAAACGATTATCTCCAAATCCCCCAACTTACCACCTAATACTTGTTTATAAAACTCCAATAACAGCCGGGCGCTGGTGGCTCACGTCTGTAATCCTAGCTACTCAGGAGGCTGAGATCTGAGGATCGCGGTTCAAAGCCAGCCCAGGCAGGAAAGACCGTGAGACTCCTATCTCCAATAAACCACCAGAAAACCGGAAGTGGCGCTGTGGCTCAAGTGGTAGAGCGCTCGGCTTGAGCTGAAGAGCTGAGGGACAGCGCCCAGGCCCAGAGTTCAAGCCCACGACCGACAAAAAAAAAAAAAAAAAAAACTCCAATAACTTTCTCCAAGAAAATCTAGAGCTGATGAAAAGAGGGCAACAGAATCTCAATTTCAAAAAATTATATCCTAAATATTAGCTGTGAAAAAATAACATTATGTACATATGTCCAGAGAAAAAGTTTGATTCATCCCTAAATTTTGTACGTTCACATCCTTTTACAGATCCCCTGACAACTGCTTTAGAAGCCTACATACATAGTAACATGTTTCCAAGTTAAAGGACAGAATTCTTATGATTATAAAAATATAGGGGCTGGGAAGGTAGCTCAGTGGTAGAGCGCTTGCCTTGCATGCATGAGGCCCTAGGTTCGATTCCTCAGCACCAGATAAGCAAAAAGAAAAAAAGCCAGAAGTGGCGCTGTGGCTCAAGTGGTAGAGTGCTAGCCTTGAGCTTAAGAGCTGAGGGACAGCGCCCAGGCCCAGAGTTCAGGCCTCACAACTGGACCCCCCACCCCCCCCAAAAAATACAAGATTTCTGAGAGGATAAATGGGAGAGACTGGCCCAACGCTAAATGAATTTCTGGGTCTTTATGGAAACGTGCTATTCACTTCTCAGATCTTTACAAGAAGGAGTTGCACCACACCATTTATTCTAGGGGGGAAAAAATCCTCTCTACTGGCAGTCACTTACCATATTCTGTTGTTGTTCACTAATAAGGTTTTCAGTCTTCTCAACAAAGGAAAGCCATCCAGTTTCCTGATTTCGTTGTCAGAAAAATCAATAGCATCGAACTGGTCTAAGGTAGCTCCTAGATTTTCTATGACAGGAATTTTATAACCTGTCAAATGGAGGGGAAACATACATGCAGGAGGTATTAATAATCAACAGGTCCCATAAAACAGCAGCAGCATTTTATTTCAAGGTAATTTGACCAAAGCTTTCCTTTATGCAGGAAATAGAGACCTACAGTCTTTGGATGTCAGACAGTCAGACACTATGCAAGGTATTGAAGATAGAAAACAAGAACCAGGATGTGATAAATTATACAGGACTCTGGGCATTCACACAGCGAGGTCAAAGGACACTCTTAGGAGGAACACAAAGCCGCATGCAATGCCTCTGATCGTATAAAATAACAAAGTGAATTCCAGGAAATGGGAATGCTTTTGTCTTCTTGTCTTGCTTGTTTATGTGTCTTTGGGAGGGTGGGAGGGGGTAACAGAAATAGAGGGACAAAGGGTGAACAAATGCAGCAGTGGTATTCACTGGACATTCTGTTGAAAATGAATTACTCAACAGGTGGGTGGGGGCGGGAGGGGAAAAAACCAGGAGAGGGTGAGGGAAGGGGTGACACTGTCTAAAAAGAAATGTTCTCATTACCTGATAATGTACCCTTCGGTGCATCACCTTTATAAATAACAATTAAAAGGGGAAAAAAATCCCCATTGAGTTGGGTGCCCTTGTGCCATGAAGACAATGACAATGGGTATATTTGCTAACAGTAATATTAACAACATATATTTATAGGACTCTTTACATGGTATGATCACGATTCTAGTAACAGCCAGTGCCTTCGCGCTTGTTCAGCCACTGGAGCCGTTCTCCCCACTGGCATTCCAACCGACCACATGGGTGGAATCCATCAGCAGGTGCTCAGGACATCACGGCTGGTCCCTTTACTTCACCTCTGCCAGCTCCAACCCAGAGCTGAAGGCCAGGGGCACATCACACAGTGGTGAATCACAGTGAACAATCCACTCACACACTGGTGCAGTTGAGTGCCTCATACCAGATGCTAGAAGAAATGAGCCCAACCAAAGTTCAAGTACATAAATGAGAGCTGAAAGGTCTGCACCCAAGTACTATACCAAAATAAGTGTTCTCAACATTACCTGTACTTCGGATAGGTGTAGAAACCAATGTGTGCCAAGGGGGATGGGGGGAGGGGACGCTGGCATCATAGCCTTCTGCAAGAAACTTAATGCTAAGTAAAAGCCCCGGGATTCCCCAAAGCTCAGCAAGTACCCCAGCAGACAGCTGAGCACACAGGTGCACTTTCACTGTGGCTGCCTTGGCTACCATCACACAATCCACAATCTTATCCCAGAGGAGAGGGGAGTGGTAAGGAGAAGAGGGGAAGTTAGAGCACCAGAACAGAACTGTGTAAGGTCTTTGCACTTGCTCAGCTGATGGTTCTACCACTTGAGCCATGCCTCAACAGTGGCTTTAAAAAACAAAACAAAAAAACTCGTTATATTTTGGAGACTAACTACAGTGGACTTTTCTGCCCCGCTGGCCTTGAACTGTAAGATCCTCTGGATCTTAGCCTGCTTACTACCTGGAAATAGCAGACGTGAGTCACTGGCCACCAGTTTGAGACAAGTTGCTGCGCAGATAAATGAACTTTCATTATATAACTAAGCCTCAAAGTAATACATCCAAACAACTACAGGGCCTTGAGGAGTTGGGAAGAGATTCCACCATTGAACACCTAAGAGGTGAACACACAAGACTTGGCCAAACATTTCAATCTTGCAAAGGAGAAATAACTAGGTAACAAAATCTCCAGCATAAATGCACCGGGTGTGGATAGCTCACCCCTGTCACCCTAGCTACTCAAGAGGCTGAGATCTAAGGACCTCAGACGGGGTAGGAAAATCTGTTCAAATGGCCACCAAAAGTGGACCTGTGGCTCGAGTGGTAGAACACCAACCTTGAGCCCCTTCTCCCCCCCCCCCAAAAAAAGCTCAGGAACAGTGCCTAGGCCCAGAGCTCACGCCCCAGGATCGCACACACATACACACGTATACACACGCGCGCGCGCACCCACAGCAAGAGCATGATGGAGCGGAGGAGGGGGTGTGCGGAGAGAAACGGTCGCTTTTCTCCCGTGACTTCCTGGAAAAATACGGGGCCTGGGTGGGAGCATCACGGCTGCACTGGTCCCCCTCTGCCCCACCGTTTCCGGGCTCCCCGTTACTACTCACTAGGCGCTACTGGAAAACCAAGTCCACAACCTGTGGGGGGGAGGAAGGCGGGGTGGGTCTGGGAGAGATCGAGGGAAGAGGGGGTGACACCGCTCGGAAGGAAAGGCGCTCGGGAGTGAAGTTAGCCGTCACCCCTCTGTGCGCCACCTTCACACTAGCAGCTGAACGACAACAGCAGAGGCAGGAAAGAGAAAAGAGACACCCGTGGGACTCGAACTCACGCCCTCGGGTAGCGCGCGTTCACCCGGGGGCCCCGCGATCGCCCGCAACCAGAGCCCCGGCCGGCCCCCGGGGGGGCCGGGGCGACGGGCGGACACGCCGCGGCGGGGGCCGGCCCCGCGCCCGGCCCCACGCGGGCCCCAGGCTCCGGCCTAGGCGCACGCGGCGGGGCTCCGGGGCCTCCCGCCCACCGGCCCGTCCGCCCGCCCGGGGCCCGCTCCGGCGCACCCCGCAGGTCCAGCTCGCGGTCCCGCACGGCGTTGGTGTACTGCGCCGCCTGCTCGATCAGCTCCGCCGTCAGCTTCACCATCCTGAGCCCGGCCGCCCGACTCACGGCCGCCGCCGCACAGCCGCTACCCGCAGCCTCCCGCCAGAGCGACGTCCCGGCGTGCCCCGCGCCCGGACGCCACGACGCCGGGAAGGCGCCGGGCGGCCCCGAGCGCAGCCCGCGAGTGCGCGTGCGCGGCTCGAGCGCCAGGCCGAAGCAATCGAGAGCCCAGCGCCGGCTTCTGAGCTCCCCGGCTGGGAAGGAGGCACCGCCCAGTCAGGGAAGGGAACCAGAGTTAGAGCGTATCGATTGCCAGAATCTGATAGTTGTGTGGGAAAATGTTCTTAGGAAAGAATGAAGTTATTTGGGAATGACAGAATAGCATTGCAGTGGATTACTCTCGAATTTTGCTCAGGAAATGTATTTTTGTTCCATACTCCACGCTTTCCTATAATTTTGCCTTGTGATTCAAAATTGTAAAAAACAAAACAAAACAAAAACACCTTAGATTTACTTTAATTCCAGAAAGCGCCTGTAGGTGGCGCCCCTGAGTCAGAGACCCGGTTTTACTTAGCCCTTTTGCTGGCTTACAGACTCAGGCCTATAATCCTAGCTATTTGGGTGGCAGGTTTCAGAGGATTGTGGTTCAAGGCCAGCCCAGGCTTAAAAGTTCAAGAGACTGAAGCGAGGGTGGTGGGTGCCTGGCATCCCCAGTCCCCATCCTTGGGCATAAAGCAAGACCCTGCCTAGAAAATAAGATATGCAAAAGGAAGCTAGGGAAGTAGTAAGTGATGAATCTCTTTCACAGGAAGTATGAGACCCTGCTCCCTCCTCCCCCAATATATTAGAGAGAAGCCAGGCATGGTGGTACACAGCTTTAATCCCATCAATGGGGAGGCTGTGACAGAAGGGTGAGTTGGAGGCCGACTTGGGCTATTTCTCAAGACCTGGTTTTTATTTTTGAAAGGGAAAGTTGTATGGATTTCCCTTGCTTCAGCACACAGTCAGGGCCAGAAATCAAACCACAAGCACTTTTACTCATGTTTGGTGTGTCTCTAGGAGATTGCAAACAACTTTTTTTTTTTTAAGTTCCATTTCTCTTGGTTGGATTGTCAGCCTAAGCATTTGACATTTTGGGTTGTGCAATTCTTCGTTGCAGGCTGTTCTGTGTATATTTGGTTTCTTTCTTTTTTCTTTTTTGTCAGTCATGGAGCCTGAACTCTGGTCCTGGGTGCAGTCCCTCAGCTCTTCAGCTGCCGACTAGTACTCTACCACTTGAACCTCAGCCCCACTTATGGCTTTTTCTGCTTATGTGTTGCTGAGGAATCGAACCCAGGGCCTCATGCATGCAAGGCAAGCACTCTACCACTGAGCCACCTTCCCAGCCCCTCTGTGTATATATTTGGATGGTTAGCAGTATCCCTGGCCTCTACTCACTAGAGGCAAACACATCCTCCAGATATCAGAAATGCCTCCAGACATTGCCAGAGTCCTCGGGGAAGGCAAGAGCCACTCCTAGCTGGGAATGAGGTTTTTGTTTTTATTTTTTGGTCAGTCATGGGGCTTGAACTCAGGGCCTGGGCTCTGTCCCTGAGCTTTTTCACAAGGGTAGTGCTCTACCACTTTGAGCCACAACACCACTTCTGGTTTTCAATGGTCAATTGGAGATAAGAGTCTCATGGACTTTCCTGCCCTAGCTGGCTTCAAACCATAGCCTTCTGAGTAGCTAGGATTACAGGCGTGAGCCACCAGCGACTGGCTAGAGTGGTTTTTTTGTTTGTTTTTTACAAGATGTTCTCTGCCCTGGGATTTTAGTGCCTGGAGACATCATGGAAAAGCTAAGAGTCATCTGGCCAGCCATCAGTAAGGCTGGCCCAAAGTAATGGTGGGGATTTGGAGGGTGATGCTGAACCCCAGGACCTCTGCTATTCTGTATAGGTAAGCAACAGACCTAGGGAGGTTTGGGATTTGCAGAAGGAAAGCAGCAATAAGGCCAAGGCTGACTCCTTTTTCCCTCACAGCCTGGTTGCCTCCCATCTGGCTGGGCAGAAACTTCAGAATAGCCATGATTATGTTACTATTACTTCTGCCTTCACATGTGTGTGCATGCCACACATGTACACACATGTGTGGCATGCTTATACTGGGGTCTTGAACTCAAGGCCTGGGTGCAGTCCCTTAGCTTTTTGCTCAAGGCTGGTGCCCTACCACTTGAGCCACAGCTCCATTTCTGGCTTTTTTGCTGGTTAACTGGACATAAGAGTCTCTCAGATTTGTTTGCCTAGGCTGGCTTTGAACCATGATCTTCAAATCTCAGCCTCCTGAGTAGTCAGGATTATAAATGTGAACCACTAGCACCCAGCCTCTTATGAAAATGTTTTTCCTTGGGAACCTGGAAGGGAGGAGAGTGAAAGGGATGGATATGCTCAAAATGCTTTATACATACATATGAAACAATATTGAAACCCTTTGAAATTATTGTTAAATTACTATTGTTATTATTGTTGTGTGTGTGTGTGTGTGTGTGTGTGTGTGTGTGTGTGTGTGTGTGTGCTGGTTCTGAGGCTTGAACGCAGAGCCTGAGTGCTGTCCCTGAGCTTTTTTTTTTTGGCACAAGGCTAGCTCTCTACTTCTTGAGCAACATCTCCACTTCAGGCTTTTTATGGGTTAATTTCAGATTAAGAGTCTCATGGGCCGGAATTCACAGATCTCAGCCTCCTGAGTAGTTAGGATTAAAGATATAAGCCACCAGCACCTGGCTTCCGTAAATGAAGAAAAGGAAAATAAAAAAAAAAATTTTCAAAAGCAAACATTTTTTTCAATTTCTAGATGTCCATTATGCTTAATTGATGCAGAAAGCTGTCTCCCGTTAATGTCAGTGTGTTTAAATCATGTGACCTGTTGAGTATTTTCCTGCCTTTATTTCTGTAAATTCTGTCTCCCCCAAAGCAAAGAGTGCCTAGAAAGCAAGGTGAAAATTACAGGAGGCTTCCCCCACCCCCAAGTAAAGAGCCTGTAATATGCTTCATTTAATTGATAAAGTGCAAATTTGGGATTTGGTGGAAGGAGGCATGTCTTGAGCAGATGTCCGTGGTGTTGTGGGGAAATGGATCAAGCATCTGTGACACAGTACCCAACTCTGCAAATCGAGCATGCGCAGTCTTTCCTCAATGATGATCTCACCCGGGGTCTCCTGTGTCTGCAGCCCCAGGATTCTGACACATCCAGGCTCCTGAGTTCACAGAAAAGCCACGTGGCGTGTCAGCCATGAGTGCAGGAACTGCAGGCAAACTGTTGCTTCATGAAATGGTTTGGCCCTGCATCCGGGGACTTTCAGCCTTTCCACCCGACTGGGCTTTGGTACTTCTAAAGGGGTCTCTTCGCCAAAGGTCAGCCTATGGCTGGAACTCTGGGGTCCTCCACCCTTTTTATTAGAACCACCTCTGCTAAAGCTGGGAGCCCCTCCATGTGAGGACATTAAGTACACCCCCAAACCACAAAGCCATGTACATAGGATACACTGACCAGCCCCCTGAGTTTAACCTATTTTTTGCCTTGGTAAGAATTACAGGTTCCTCTGCTATAGGAAGTTAAAGGCTTTTATTAATTTAGGTTAACATTGAATTTTGTCTCTGATTCCTTTTGTTCGGGGCAGGGGGTTGTTGTGGGTTCAACAGACCGCAGCCGGCTTCTCTGCCAGCTCATAGGCGATGATGAGGGTGATGACAAGGAGGCTAATACGTTGTCGTCAAAGGAGAAAGCGGGACACACAACATCGAGAGACGAGGTTGCGAAGATTTAAGGCAAATGTTATTCCCATATTTGAGGTGGGGGGGATCAAGCAGATCTGTGCATTTCAATGAAAATATATGAGATATTTGTCAGTAAAAATTAGAACATGTAGCTTATAAAATGCCTACACAGGTTTGGCAGAGATCGATCTTGCTGTGTCGTCGTCGGCGGCTTCTCGCTATACGCAGACACAGGAGCGTCCAGCAGGAGTTCGAATCTCCTGAGCACGGAGCCAGGTGAACTCGCAGATGCATTCCATTCGCTGCAAAGGGAGGCGTGACCTAGCGCTGCCTAGGCTGGCTTTCTGTTTCGTTGAGAGGGCGTTGCTTGGCCGGTCATCCGGGGAATCTTCCGACTGGCCTCCCGGGGACTCTCCTCAGAAGCTTGTGAATCAGGTAGAGGTGGTTATCCAGGCCTGAGCCACCGGGAAACCCAGTCTGCACCGTGAGAAGGATCGTACCCAGAGAGGCCCCAACGCTGCATCCAGTGTTGGCCTGGCACCTTCTTGGCCACAGAGGAGCTGATTCTGCAGAAATGGGTTCCAGCCCCAGTGGTCATCTGACTGCTGCCCTGAAGTCCATTTCATTGAACCGTCCCATCCAAGCGTCCTCTGGGCCTCCTGATAGCAAGCGATGCCCAGGGGAGGCGGTGGAGCGGTCACCACGCTCACCCCAGGGTGCCTGGGTGCCCCCCGTCCCCACTGGCACAGCATCGTTCCTTCCGCTTTGGTCTTGAAGATTCGGTAAACTTAGGGTCCTAGAAGCTGTTCCAAAGCCAGAGCTGTGGATTCTTGGATTTCATGTTTGTTCCTTTGTTGGAAAGTTTTGCCAGAGCCTGGAAACCCCATGTCCCAAACCACCAGCCACTTGATTGTCCCCCGGGGCATGTGTGGGAGTGCCCGGCTCGTGGGGAGATAAAGCTGTCAGGTGCAGGGGATCGCCCCTGGAACAAGATTCTGGCCGACAGTGTAGAGGACGGTGGACGGATGGGTAGGTGGACCGGCAGCGGGCGGCGCCCCTACCCCGCCAGGAGGCAGGTGCGGCAGCAGAACTGGATGAAGAGCTTCCGCTCGCAGAGCCGGTTGGACTTCACCATCTCGCAGAAGGTCTCATCAGCTGGGGCCCCAAGACCGGAAAAGCAGAGGAGGGAGAAGTCAGACCCAGGGGGAGGGGGTGTCTGTGAATACTGCACCCCACTTTGCAGGCACCAATCATGTGCCCGGCCAGGGGCACACAGAGCCCTGCCTGTTAACTGTGCTTCACCAGATGACCCCTGGTGTGTGACCCAACTCTTGACCAGATGGGGGAGCGGATGGATCTAAGAGGCTGCCCAGGATAGGCCCATA